TGTCTTCCAGTGGCAAGTTGTCATTCATTTTTATTTGGCTGTGTCAGTCTTAGTGGCTGGTGGCACGCGGGATCTTCAGTCTTCGTTGCGGTGATCTTCATTGCAGCATTGGAGGTCTGCGCTTGCTGGCATGCAAGACCTTTAGTTGCAGCATGTGGGATCCAGTTCCCTGACCAGGGATCGAACCCAGGCCCCCTGCATTGGGAGCTTGGGGTCCTAGCCACTGGACCACCGGGGAAGTCCCCAGCCATTATTCATTTGGGGAAAGGGTATCATTCTAAGAAAACCAAGAATTCTTCGGAGGCAGTTTTTCCTGTAATACCAGTTTCACTATCAGAAAACAGGATATTAAGTATGAAACAAATGGTCCCCAATCTTACAACAGTTTGCTTACAATTTTTCAACTTTACAATGGTGTGAAAAATCTGCATTTGGTAGAAACTGTACTTTGATTTTGGAATCTTGATCTTCTCCTAACCTAGCGATATGTACATGATACTGTCTTGTGATGCTGGGCAGAGCAGCTCCAGGTCAGCCATGCAATCACAAGGGTAAACAACCGATACTCTGACAACCATCCTGTTTTTCACTTTCAGTACAGTATTCAACAAATCGCATGAGATATTCAGCACTTTATTGTAATATAAGCTTTGTGTTAGAGGATTTTGCCCAACTGTAGGATAATGGAAGTGTTCTGAGCATGTTTAAGGCAGGCTGGCCTAAGTTCTGATGTAAAGGGGAGGTAGGTGTAATAAATGCATTTTAAACTTAGGATATTTTCAACTTATGATGTGTTTGTGGGGACTTAACCCCATCATAAGTCAAGGAAGACTACACAAAATTACGAAAAGAGTTGTGCTTTCCTTTTAAGGACACACAGTCAAGGATCAGTTCCACCCACAGGACTTCTCTGTGGTCCAGTGGTTGAGACTTCCCCTTCCAATGCGGTGGGTGTGGGCTTAATCCCTGGTCAGGGAGCTAAGGTGCTGAGATCCCCCATGCCTCAAAAACAAATAATAAATAAAATAAAAGTAATATTGTAACAAGTTCAATAAAGGCTTCAAAAATGGTCCACATTAAAAAAAATCTTTAAAAGAAAAGTATCAGGTCTACCCAACAAAAGCAAACAAAGAACTGTATAAAACCTGGTGAACCCAGGACCACTGCAACAAGCCTCACTGTTTAGATGCAGGAATATGCTGGACCTGTTCCCTTTGCTAACATTCTTACTCCCCAGTCCTGGGCACTCACCGGGTTCAGCCCCCACATCCTGCGTCTCCTTCTCTTACCTTTGAGAGCTCATTCGTTCTCCTGGCTCCAGCCCTTCCCTGTGCTGTTTCCTCCCCATCTCCCAGACCTCCAACCCATATCTCTGTCTGCCACTTGAATGCTATCCTCTAACTCAATATGTTGAGAAATGCAGCTCTCTTCCCCACCTTGACCTCTGTTAGTGACGTCACTATTCTTCCGGTACTCGGATTGGCAAGCTTGGAGTCTCAGCCTCCAAGTGAGATGACTGCAGAGAACAAAGTCTTTCTGACATGCCTCCTCCTCCCTCCCTCATTGCCCACCCCCCATCCCATTTATGTCACATCTGGCCGAATCTTCCTTTGACCTGACGCTGTCTTCACTATGTTACTTCTCTGCTCCAACATTCTTACACCCACTCAACTCCTCTGTGTAGTTATGGAGGCCACCGTGATCTGATCCCATCCAACCTGTTCAAACCTGTTTTCCACTGCTCCTCAAGAGAGTGATGAAGATACCCATCACACATATTACAAGTGAGTTTTGTGTTCATTATCTCAAGTATAGTATTAACACTAACTGGAAGCCAAAGAGGCAAACATCATCCCTGTTTTGTAGTCAGAGAGACCATGACGGGGCACAAGGTCACACCGGTAAAAACCGGAACAACAAGAACTAGAACCCAGACCCACAGACTCATCTTGTGCAGATTTCACTGTAACCTGGACATATGCCTTCCTTGGCTTCAGCTCAGCAAACCCCCATGGAGGACCCACTCCTGATTTAATGCTTCGGTGTGTACATACAAGGATTTCTGCCCTTGCTCATGCTCCAAATGGGAAGAGGAGAGCTACCCTGGTATGGAAGACCGGGGACAACCAGAGCACAGACCGTGGACTTGGGATACTGACTGCAGTGAGCACAGCCTGGAAGGGGCTCCACAGGGACTTGAGACCTGATGTGAACGTCAGTAAAGCTTTCCAGTGCAGATACCTTGTGAAAAGGTCAATGAATGGTTTTCAAAGACCACGGTGGCAGGTAGGTGTACCTGGCAGAAAAAGCAGCAGGCACACTTTCGCATCCCTCCCACCCACACTTCAAGGCTCCCCAGGCAGCGGTCCTAGACTAGTCTAGGGCTGATCCCTCTTCCTGTCTCTCTAAACCTTACTAATTTAAAAGGATTCCTGTTCATCTTGCTTTGAAGGTCACCTCATCTTCCCAACAATGGTAAGTTTCTCTAACTTAAGAAAGAGGTCACAGGACTTCCCTCCTAGTCCAGTGGTTAAGAATCCACCTTGCATGCAGGGGACATGGTCAGGGAACAAGATATCACATGCTGCGGACCAACTAAGCCTACCGACTGCAACTAGGGCCAGTGCACCACATGAAAGAGCCTGCAGGATGCAACACAGATCCCCCACCCCCGTCCGCGGCTTAGCCCTGGCCAAATAAATGAGTCCATTAAAAAATGAGATCACACTTCCATTCTCTGCAAACACTATAGGGGCCTGGTGATGACTTTTGCTCACAATGACCATGGGAAGAGTTCTGAATGCCCGAAGGACGCCTCACACCTTTGGCCTTGTCCCTCTTATTTATTGGCGTGCCACGTGGCTTGTGGGAACCCCCCGACCAGACTGAATCCAGGCCCTTGGCAGTGACTGCAGAGCCCTAACCACCAGCTCACCAGGGGATCTCCTTGCTTTTTCTCTTTAAAGACCTCCCGCCTTGGCTTCCTCAGAAGCCTAAATTTTGGCCACCCACCCCCACCCAGGGACTGCAAGTGGGAAGGGAGTAGCTGTGCCAGGATCCTTTTGGGGATCGTTCAGGGCACTGGGGCTCCTAGGTTCTCTCTCCAGCTCCAGGTGGGCGGGTGGGGGTGCTGAGCATACTTCCGACTTAGCCCAGCAGCTCACAGACCTCCCCTCAAATCGTGAGACCTAACCTGGCTCTGTGTGAACTGGTATTTGGCACCACCCCCCAATTGCTCACAATGACATCCCCTTTGCTTTGATCACTGAGATTCAACCTAAAGGTTTGCTATGCGTCCAAAGCATCTGAGACTTTAAGTGGAAAACGAGGTACAGAACACTATGCATTATGTCCCCCTGTACACATTCAAAATTATTTCTTGAAACAGGTGATAGTGGTGGCCTTACAGAAGGAAAAATGGGAGGGCCAGGGTATACGGTGGGGCTTTTCACCATGGGCATTTTGCACCATTGGCATAATTTTAATTATGCAACCAATAAATTTTTAAAACATTTTCACTATTATGACAAAGAAACTGCCTTTTAAATCCTAGAAAGGTGGGAGGTGGGATCGGGATGGGGAACACATGTAAATCCATGACTGATTCATGTCAATGTATGGCAAAAACCACTACAATATGGTAAAGTAATTAGCTTCCAACTAATAAAAATAAATTTTAAAAAGTTGTTAAAAACAAAAAAATAAATAAATAAATCTATCTGTTAAGCCTATGAGAGTACAAGGTTTATCTGTTACAAATTCTAGAGTTGCAAATAAATAATGTACTAATGAACTTAAAAAATAAATAAATAAATCCTAGAAAGGTTTAGAAAGGTAACAAGTCAGCCCCGAACATTCCTCTGAGAACAGAAGAGTCTCTTCTACCTGTTGAAATCCTTCTCCCAGGGCCTGGCCTGGTATTTGGCACCCAATGGCTGTCCAATGTTGAATGGACCTAATTTACTTCCCCATCTAAATGCAAAGCATTCCCTAAACAAGAGCAATTGTAGAACGAAGACAAGGTTGGGGGGAAGGAGAACGGCTTTTGCCCCCGGTACTCATCGACCGTCCATGACCTGAGCACCACGTGCAAGGTGTCTGGTTGTGGGATGTGGACCCTGCCTCTAACCTACCAGGAGACAGAAGACACTGTGCACAAAGAACAGGGGGAGAAAGCTCCGTGGGTCTGAAAGTGAGAAGTTTCTGAAGAAGCTCATTAATAGCTGAGGAGTATTTATTCAGTAAAAGATAAGGAAATGACAAGGCAGGAGAGTTGGCAAAAACTCGTAAGCACAGCTGGATGCCAGGGAGGCAGGTGGATGGGGGTGGGGAGTGTCACCCCTCTAGGCAGCTCAGTTACCCACAGAGACATCACCTGAATTCATTCTTCAGCTAGACATGATCAGTCATTCATTCAAGAAATCTTTCCTGAGCAGCCTACTATGCACAGGTCTATGCTGTCTCCAGCACTCAATTCATGAGATTTTAGTTTTGACCTTACTTCATCATCAGTGATAGATGCTTGCTCTTATTGCAAAGCACAAGTCAGCCTGGCCTCTCAAGCAAAAAGTACAAAGAATATTCACAGACAGAAAGAGCTGGCCAGGGAACCACATGTGATATGCAAGTGAAAGTCCAATGGATCCGAGAAAAGAAATGTACCAGAGAATCAAATGTGAACACAAGACTCCAAGCAAACCAACTCAGAGTGAATCCCATTCAAACAATACGTATAAAGGTTTTCTCATGCTATTTACAATTTTAAAAGTAAATTTACTTTATAAGCACCGAGGAATTCTTTATTTAATACCACCATAACATAAAAGTTCACATAACCGCTTCTTCAAACCATGATACAGAGCTTTATGACAACCTAGAAGTGGGAACCCAAAGAAGGCAAACACGATGCCTCAGAGATCAGGAAACATTTACAAAGTTCAACTGTTAAAAACAGTTCATTCTGGCAGTGAATCCAGTTTGGATGTCAGTATACACATTCTTTAGGGAGGTGAGAGGCCTTTCGATTCTTCTCCAGGTGCCTCCAAATCCTGGGGCTGTGGAACTTCTTTCAGAGGTGGGTTCTCCTCCAATGCAGTTTGGGATTCGACACCCATGGGTTCAGATTTCCGAGAAACTTGACTACCTTCCTGTTGCTTAAAACACCAGATATAAGTACATCACTCAAATGTTATCACTTTCACTCAATTAGCTGAAAGTATTAATATATGACTAGGCACATTCTATGACAGAGTCAAAAATTTAGCATTACTATCTCAGGTCAAATTCAATTACACACAATAAACACGAAAAATCTCTACAGAACCACAATTTTAAAAGCCCTCATGACAATTCACTTGTTCCATGCAGCAATCCTTACCACAAAATTCTAGCTTACTCACCCTAACAGGATTTGACCTGGAACCATGGATGGAGAAAGAAAACCAAGCCTTCCTTTAACCTCCAACGGACAACCAATCCTAGCAATAGCTGTGATAATAGAATACTCACAGTCCTTGCTTTTTCTAGTCGTCTTAAAATGACACCTTCTGCCAACAAAGCCTTCCCTGCTTCCACAAATAACTTCTCTTCATCTGTTTCTCCAAGTTTCTGTAACTCAATGTACTTCTCCACGAACCTAGAATTCCAAGCAGTCACATCTTTGGTCTGTATACTGAGAGTTTTCAAATCCTGCTGTTACACAGTACCAAGTATTCCCTTAAGAGATCTTCCCATAGGAACATATTTTTCCTCAAGTGGAATTCAATAAGACTCCTCAAACTGACGACTAAACTCTAAAAAAAGGAAAGGTAACCCAAGACTTGTAGAATGACTTACCGTTCACAGGTAGACTTGAAGTTTGGGTTGAACAGATCAAAAGCTTTTGGACCTGATCCATAGGCTGAATAAAATTTCCTTGAAAATACAAAATAACACAATATAAATTTCCAATTATAGATCATGGCCAAGAATGGAGTAAAGAATAACTGCTGGACCCTGAGAAATTGAGTATAACATGACTTACAGGCCCTAAGCCAAACACCTTTTGTCTTCAGTAAGCAATGTGTGCATATGGTAAAAACATTAATGTTACAGAAAGATATCCAAACAAAAGTAGCACTCCCCCTCACCCCTGTAACCCAATCTCCCAGTTCTCCTCCCCTGTAAGTAACACTAACCAGTTTCCGTGTATCCATCCAGGAATGTCCTATCAATATAAGCATATACGTATCTACCATCCCCTGTCCTCAGCCACATTGTTTAACCCCCAGGACAGTAAACACATCTTGCCTTTTTACTTAGTATTTCTCAGAGATCATTTCAATTCACTGCATGTAGACTGCTTTTAGTCCTTCGCTATTTCAGTGTTGCAATGATTACCTTTATCTACATTTTGTGGTGTACTGTGGAATAATTTCATAAAAATGGATTTGGGAGGCTTTCCTGGTGGCTCAGTGGTGAAGAACCCGCCTGCCAATGCAAGAGACACGGGTTCGATCCCCGGTCAGGGAAAATCCCCCATGCCATGGAGCAACTAAGCCCGTGCACAATTATTGAGCCTGTGCTCTAGAACCTAGGAGCTGCAATTACTAAGCCCACTTGCCACATCAACTGAAGCCCGCACAGCTTAGAGCCCATGCTTCTCATTGAGAATGCAGAAGCCACTGCATTGAGAAGTCCGTGCACTACAAGAGAGTAGCCCCACTCTCCGCAACTAGAGAAAAGCCTTTGGAGCAATGAAGACCCAGCACAGCCAAAAATAAATAAAGTAAAAAACTATTTTCTAAAAATAGTACTGTTGGGTCAAGATACCTTAATTTGTAATTTGACCTTCCAAACTGCCAAAATGCTTTCCAAAGGGAGGGGCTGTATCCATTCACACCCAGACAAGGGTATCAATAGGCAGATAGGAGACTGCCTATTCCCCCAAACCCTGACAAAATTATATTTCCCAACTTTTTGATCTTCATCAGTCTGACAGGTCACATTTTGTACTTCACTGTAGTTTTGCTTTTCTTATCAAACAGACTCAATCTTTTCATGTTTAAAAGCACAGGAATTCCCTCTTCTGTGACCTATCCATGTTCTTTGCCCATTTTTTCCTTTTAGTCTTTTTTTTATAGACTTACAAGCAAACTTTATAGCAATGTAAACAGGAAACTAGCTCTTTGTCATACACGTTGCCAAAGTTCTTCCCAGTATGTCAGTTGATTTTTTTAATTTTGCTTATGGTAGTTTTTACATGCAGAAAACTTTAATGCTTTCATTTATGGCTTCTAGATTTTGTGAGGTTTTTTTCCCAACTTAAATAAGTTTATTTAAATATTTACTTATTTGGCTATGCCAGGAATTAGTTATGGCACAAGGGATCTTTAGTTACTGCATGTGAACTCTCAGCTGCAACATGTGAGATCTAGTTCCCTGACTAGGGATTGAAGCTGGTCCCCTGCATCAAGAGCAAGGAGTCTTAGCCACTGGACCATCAGGAAAGCCCTGGCTTCTGGGTTTTTATGTCACACGTAGGTAGGCTTTTATTAATATCAGAGATTATTTTTTCAATTATCCCATGTTTTCTTCTATTACTTTCATGATTTCACTTTTCCCACTAAGGTTTTCACTTCCTAGATGGCTCAGTGGTAAAGAATCCACCTGCCAATGCAGGAGACACAGAAGACTCAGCTTCTATTCCTGGGTCAGGAAAATCCCCTGGAGGAGGACATGGCAACCCACTTCTGTATTCTTGCCTGGAGAATCCCATGGACAGAGGAGCCTGGTGGGCTACTGTCCGTGGGGTCGCAAAGAGTCAGATGCAGCTGAGCAAGCACACATGCACTTTGATACACCTGAAATTTATTTTGTTGTTATAATTTGTTTTGTTGTTATTTTGTGGTTAAAATACCAAAAACACCAAAATAAACAAAAAAGCCAAAAAAGATAAAGGTTCAAAAAACTATTTAAGTCCACAGTGTTATAATTTGGGCATTAAGAGTAACAAAAGAGGATGCAGTAAAATATTCCATTCTCCCATGACCATTACTCAGTTCCACTGCTATGTACACAGTAGAAGCACAAATGATTTTAACATATAAGTAACCTTGAAAGCATCGTGACCAAGTGAATGTAATGGACCTGAGCAGAAAAGTACTGGAAAAATATTTAATGCCCTAAAGATCTCTGAAAATTTCCAAACAGAGCCAGAATATACTTGTTCTCCTACCTCAAACGTGTGTTGGGCAAGGGGGGCAGTGTGGTGTTCCTCAAGTGAAAGGTGGGTGCCTGGACCTCAATAAAGAATATGGGATAAGTAGTCATTTCAATTAGACACAATCTCTGATCCTAATATTCTAGATGTTAAAAACTGACATCAGTATTAAGGGAAAGAGATTTGTCCTGTGAATTACCAGTCAAGTCGACCACCTTGAGCCTCATAGTTCTCATGACCATAAAACGGAGAGGAGGATACCTATCTTGTAGGGTTAGAGTTAGACCTAAATGAAGTAACGTTTGTTGGGGGCTTAACACAGTGCCAGCCACCAAACAGATGCCCAGAAACAGGTAGGTATAATAGCAATGGCTGGTCAGTTGCTGGGCACCAGGTTCTACTCCCAATTTCTGCTTCTCTGTCCTGGGGTTGGAGCACTTATTCCCTAATCTGGTGAGATGGACAAGACCACCTACACAGGGCAAGCCCTTACTCAATTCCTATGTAAGTGGCCAAACTGCTGGCTAAACCTTTCCTTCTTAAGTTGTGCTGCCTCTGGTCCACCATATGGGCTCCACACTCACGCTCTAATCTGATCCTCGCGGTAAAAGATGTCCTGGGTGGGAGATTTAGCTTTGCCATATCGCAAGCGAGGCCTTCGGAAGACCGGGTCCCGCAGCGGAGGGAAGGCGTTATATATGTCAAACCAAAGGGGTTTCTCCTTCAACACCCCAGCCCGAATCAGGTCTCGCGTCCTGAAGGAAGGGTAAAGAACAAAGGTCAGTAAGTGACAACAGCCTGTCTGAGCCCCTGATGCAGCCTGAGACACTGGCAGGGTCGCGGAGTCCAGAAGACAACCGGAAGGAGGGCAGAGCAGGGGGTCCCCTACCTGCTAAATGGTAAAATGTTTCCAAACTCCAAACCAACCAAATAGTGCTCAGGGTTAATCCACCTTCTCATGTGCGTCCCACTCCCCTCGCCACATCCACATCCCATCAAGGAAAATGCAGACTGTTCTGGCCAGGCGCAACAGCCTCATCCTCCCTTACTTTTCCTAGAGACCTCCATTTGGAGCTCGGCTGGTAAAGAATCCGCCTGTAATGCAGGAGACCCCGGTTCGATTCCTGGGTCAGAAACATCCCCTGGAAAAGGGATAGGCTACCCACTCCAGTATTCTTGGGCTTCCCTGGTGGTTCAGATGGTAAAGAATTCGCCTGCAATGCGGGAGACCCAGGTTTGATCCCTGGGTTGATAAGATCCCCTGGAGAAGGGAAAGGCTACGCAACGCACTCCAGTATTCTGGCCTGGAGAATTCCATTGACTGTGTAGTCCAAGGGGTCGCAGAGTCGGACACGACTGAGCGACTTTCACTTCACTTTCCACTTGGAGAGCGGAAAGGTGCGATCTTGAACGTGCGAGCTAAGAAATTCGAGGGGTGACGCAGCCAAGCACAATTTTTCACAAGCAAGACAAAGCACGAGAGAGGCCTGGCCAGGATCAGACCCACCCAAGAAAGGGGGTAAAAGGGTGAGACGCCCTCGCGCCCTCGGCACACCCCCGGCTTCGAGCACGCACCGCGTGAAAACGCTCCCCACGGTTTCCAGCCGACTGCCCGCCATGCCCGGGGCCTTGGATCCCGCGCTGTGCCTGTACCGGAACCGGAAGCGCCCGCAGCAGGCAAAGTGGGCGAAAGTCGCGGGCCGAGCCGCCGATCGCAGTGCCCGCGTTGCGGCTCCAACGGGAGGGCGTGGCCAGGCAGAAGCAAGGGATGGCCGAATCGCCGCACCCTCGGCTACGCGCCAGGCTCAGACAGGAGCACTCGATAGCCGAGCCGCCAGGGCGGGAGAGAGCCAAAGCCGGGCAAAAGCAATACATGACCGATCCATGGGAGGGGTTAATTGTCGCTTTACCTTTTCTGGCCACCTCTGCTCTCGAAGGAACCAGGGAAGATGACGGGGAGGGCGTACGGAGACGCAGCCTAGGTCCTGGGGGAGCCAACAAGGCCAGGAATTCATAAGGCAGAGATCAGAGGTCACCAGCTCTAGGCTCAGTCTGCGCCTCATTTTGGTTGGAGTCACATGTGACCCAAGGACGGAAGAGCAGATAACCAAGGAGGGTCTTGGAACGCAGGAACGGAACCAGAGCTTTATCGTCCTTCCCTACCCCCATGGTGTAACTATTAGTGGGACAGTATAACCTGTCTCCCCTCCTACCCCGTAGGGAGGTGGCATTTGCCCTGCTCTTACCCCAACCCGGTATAGGAGCCTCATCCAATCAGCTAATGACCCGCAAGACCCCTATCCCACTCTTTGTACCCTGACTATAAAAGTGGACTAAGGACCCCCCTTTCAAGGTCGGTTCTCCCTTGAATTGGCCCGCTGTTCTAACAGCGTCTCCCACTCTAGTAAGCTTTATTCTTCTTTCATTCTGTCTCATGTCTGGAAATTCTTTTCCAACCCGCGCCGGGACCACGACATCGCAGTCTACGCAGAAGGAAACCGAGCCCCGAGGAGGGCCGTCACCTGACCAAGATCACTCTGGAGCCCAAGCCTCCTTCCTGCGTCTCCTGCGCTTAAGCACTCCCCACTAAACCCTTTGGCCCTGAAGCGCCACCTGCATCCGCTCGCTGCAGACGGCTAGTGTTTTCTCCCCGGGAGGCGTCGCTAGCTAGCTGCTCCTTGGAGCTTGAAAAGTGAAAGTGTCCGGAACAAACAAATTCCGAGAAGGAAACTCAAAAATCTGGGGGAAATATCCTTTCAGGATAAACTTTTAGCCCAATAACCATACTTTGCGTAAGGTATCCTGTAGAAATTAAAGCACACTTTCACAAGGATATTTGTGCAAGGACCGTCGCTGCAGCATTGTTTGTACTGCACCCTCCCATCCATGGAATGGGAAATGGCTGGAAAACTATGCTTCATATAATCTATGGATTCTTTCGCAGCTATTAAAACCAATGAGCTAGATCCACATGTATTGCCGTAGATGAGTGCCCATGACTTACTGTAAAATGAAAAAGGATCTTGCAGAGAAGCGTCTTGAACCTGTTAAAAGGAAAACCTTTTACAGTGTTAGTGTTTGTATGCAATAGAAACTATGTGGAAAGGCACCTGTGGGCTGTGAAAGCTGATCTCCAGTGAGACTGCAGGAGGAGAAGGGAGATTTTTTTATGTACCCTTCAGAGTTTGACCTGTGAAGAGTCTATATTCATTGTTTTTTTTTTTTTTTTAAGTCAGAGGTCTTCTGGGGGCGTGGGGGCTGGGTCTTCATTGGTGTGTGGGCTTTTCTCTGATTGCAGCTGAGTAGGGCTACTCTAGCTGTGCTGTGTGGGCTTCGAATTCTGCGGCTTCTCTTGTTGTGGAACACATGCTCTAGGGTGTTCAGGCTTCAGTCGCTGCAGCTCCCCGGCTCCAGGGCACAGGCTCAGCAGTTGTGACGCAGGGGCTTATTGCTCCCACACATGTGGGATCTTCCCAGGCCAGGGATCAAACCCGTTTCTCCTGCATTGGCAGTGGAGTTTTTACCACTGAGCCACCAGGGAAGCCCTGGTATTCATTTCTGAACTTTTGAATCTAAGGGGAAAATCTCTTGGGAAAGACTCTGATGTGGGGAAAGATTGAAGGCAAAAGGAGAAGAGGGTGGCAGAGGATGAGATGGTTGGATAGCATCACTGATTCAATAAACATGAACTTAGGCAAACTCTGGGAGATAGTGAGGTACAGGGAGGCCTGGCGTGCAGCAGTCCATGGGGTTGCAGAGTCAGACATGACTTAGCCACTGAACAACAAATCCAAGGAAGTGTTTTGAATCACATAAACACAAGATATCTCCCAGGAGTCCATTATCTTTGTCAGCAAGAAAGAGTGTCAAGCCATCCCAGAGTCCTCTTCTGGGAGGCTGGTGAGGTGGAGGAGGGGATTGTCTCATAAGCTGTTACTGTGTCTTTGTTATCTCACTGAATCCACACACCTATCCACAAGCGGCTGTTGTTATCCTCCTGAGAGATGAAAATGTGAGGCCACAGGGGGTTAAGTAACTTGTCTGATAAGTAACAGACAGAGCTACTCCTCCAGCCCCGCCTGGGCACTTTCTGGGACTCCACAAATGCCCCTTACCGGTGCCTCCGGATGGAGGCTGGTGGGCTGAAGAAGATAGGCAAAACAGGGCCCGGGGGCCAGGGACAGGCTGATCTGAGGCCAGGGGCTGAGAGGTGGGTTCCACGGCTGGCTCGGGACCCTCTGGAACAGGGAAGAGAGAGCACAGTTCTGGCCACTGGGCTGAGCATGAAGTCCTAGGCAGGTCTGTAAGACCTTGCTCTAGGAAGAGCAAACATGCTCCCAGCTAAATATAGTCTTTCCCGGCTTCAAAACAAGTTTCTAATTCTGTCCAAGTCAGAGCCAGCTGCCAGCCCCGACCACAGACACACTTCCCTTCTCCCACTCCGGCCTGCCCCGCGGGCCTCCGCCATTACCCAGCCACCGCTGCTGAAGAATGAGACGGACACATTCCAGGTTCAGGGAGGGGGAGCCGAAGGCCCAAGCCGTCCATGGGGCGCTGGTGGCAAGGGGGCGGTTTTCTCTCGAGATCTTCTTAGGGACGTCCCTTCCTCTTCTGAGCCTTTAAAGTTTCCCCTCCAGCATCCTAGTTCATGTTTCTGTGACTGCAAACAGAATATTAATGGGTCGAGTACAGGTGGGCTTCCCAGGTGGTGCTACTGGTAAAGAAGCCGCTTGCCAGTGCAGGAGACATAAGAGATTCAGGTTCAAGCTGATCTCTGGGTTGGGAAGATCCCCTGGAGGAGAAAATGGCAACGCACTCCAGTATTCTTGCCTGGAGAGTCCCATGGACAGAGGAGCCTGGTGGGCTATGGTCCTTGGCATCACAAAGAGTCGGAAATGACTGAAGTGACTTAGCACGCACGCACACAGAGGAAGGAACCATGGAAATGTGGGAGCAAGATGAACGGGGAACCCTCTGAGCCTGCAAGGGGGAGGTGTGCACTCCAGGGAGCATTCGTTCTTCACACAGGAAGAAGCTAGGGGCAAGCAGAATGGACAGTCAGGGTTTTCTGTCTCCTTACCCAGGCCTTTCAAGGCTGCAAAAAGCTGATGCACCCGTGCCAGGCACCACTCCAGAGACCTGGATTATCTCCTCCCATTGTTCAACTCCCTGAGGCCATAGATCATGTCCTGACAGTCCTACAGATAAGAGGACAGAGCTTGTAAACTCCCCAAAAGGCCATGCTTGTGTGCGTGCTCAGTCACTGAGGTTGTGTCTGACTCTTTGCACCCCCATGGACCGTAGTCTGCCAGGCTCCTCTGCCCATGGGGTTCTCCAGTCAAGAGTAATGGAGTGGGTCACCATGCCCTCCTCCAGCCAAAGGTCCATATTCCTTCCATGATACCACTCAGGCCCATTTTGTCCCACCGCATCACACTGGAGATGTGCCCACTAATCCTGGCATCTTGGGGACTTAGGTAACTTTTCAAGACTCTGTTTCCCCCGCTGACATCTGCCAGCTATCTAAGTGGCCTGTTGCCAGATTAAAAGCGGTCATTCATGTAAAGCAGGAATCACAGAGCCTGGCACAGAGTGGGGCTGGCGAGTTACAAACAAGTCTAGTGGCTGTTACAGCATCCCTCTTGCTGTTGTGTCCTGTAACCCACTGATTGCCACCCAAGACTTCGGCTTTTTGATGCTATTTCATAGATCACCTTAATGTTTTCTTTTCTTGTTAAGTGATTCATTTGTCCCAGAAACATTTTGGCACCTACCTGACCCAGTGCTGAGTCCTAGAGAAACTGGCTGTCCAGAGAGGGAGACAGAGAGGTATATCCATAATTGATGTCATACGCTGAATAATTTATTGACACTGTTGACTGGCTCAGCCTGCCATAACAAAAGACGACAGGACAAATGGCTTGAACAATACAAATCTATTGTCTCATGGTTCTGGAGGCTGGAAGTCAGAAATCAAGGTGTTGGCAGGGTTAGTTTCTGCAGAGGTCTCTCTCCCGGGTTTGTAGACAGCTGTCATCTCCCGTGCTTCACACGGCCTTCCCTTTGTGTGAGTCTGTCCTCTGTTATGACCCCAGCATACTGGATTCCAGCCCAAACTACTGACTTCATTTTAACTTAAATGTCTCTTTAAAGATACTATCTCCAAACACAGTCACATCCTGAGGTACTGGGACCTCCACGTATGAATTTAGGAGGAACACCATTCAGCCCACAACACTGAGCAGTAAGTACTTGTACTGAATATTTCCATTTTCCCGCCCAGGGTCACACCCTTTCTGTGCCCTTCTTCACCCTGCTCTGTAGCCCCGGAGGCTGACTTCCAGGACTGCATCCTCCAGCCCCTTGCCCTGTTCCCAGTCGGGTTCCAGCTGGTATCACCAACGGGTGGCATTGGCCTGGGACAGAGAAGAAGGAGGAGACAGAAGTTGCTCCCCACTCCCGCCGTCACCGCCCCCCTACTCCACCCGCCATACAGTCCAGGACCATAAAGTCTGCAGGTCAGCCTCCACGCCCAGCTCTCCCCCGATTCCAGGCTTTGTCTCCGCCCTCCTTTTAGGCCTAGACACGGCCAACTGTGCCTGTCTGTACCCAGGCCACC